TAATGTGAACATTCCTTAGTAGAGCACTATAGTAGGGGCATCCTTGTGGTTCTAGGAAGATTCTAAGCAGACAGCAAAGCATTATATGCTAAAGGCTATATTATATAGAACTATCTCTTTTAGTTAACTAGCTCTTTAGAGTCTAGAAAGTCCTGCGCTTGCGTAGGATAGCCTAAGGGGTGCCTATTAGTTTAGATAGCTGTTGCTGTTTAGCTAAAAGGTATATATAGTTTATATTATTTAATCCTTTTACTTAGTTAGCTAAATAGGGCAAATTTAACGCAGAAATAATTTAATATAAGTGTGTTTGTTATATAAAAAAGTGTTTATAGTGCGTTTATATAAGCAGCTAAGCACTAATAGGTCTAGTGTGTAGATATAGCACATATTTTTAGAAGAACTGCCTAATTAAGAAATTATATCTATGCTTAGCATACTTTATTTTAACTTTATTATTAATAACACCTGCTGTAGCTACTTATATACCCTTCTTTAAAAACAACAATAATAATTGCTTATAAGTTGCCCCACCTAGGCTTCCACATAATGCGCTAAAGATACGCAGACATGTAATATATACCTATAACTGCGCTAAGTTTTTCTATTAAATTCTCTTAGCTACTTTTAAATTTAATGTCTATTTTACTAAGACTTTTTACTAAACTTTCCTTTTATACCTACTATCTCTACTTAGAACTATAGCTAGCTTTAGATCTGCTACTAAGTTTATCTTTAGGCTTAACCTACCCTGCAACGCACTTGCCTAGCATAATAATATAAAGATGTAGGCCTAGCAGCCTTTTTCTATCTTATAGGTCTTCTGTAACGCGCTTTTTATTTATAAAGAGATATTTAGTTAATAAGGTGTCTTTTTTAAAGTTAAGAATAAAGCCTATTTATCACATCTTTTTTTTAGCTGCACTGTGCATAAAACCTAACACCCTAAACACACGCACCCTACACTATAGGCAACCCCTTTAGGGAACCCTCTTATATAAAACAAAAGAATGTGCTAGGGCAGCTACAAGAACAACAACAATAATTGCCTATAAGCGCTGCTTTGTCTACCTTAGTGTATAGCGCTTTAGGAAACTAGTTTAAATAAGTAAAGCTATTACTAACACTCTACACCTAAACTATAGTAAGAATAAGTATAGTTAGTTTAGTATTTTAGAAGAAACTACTTACGCCTTTATTAATATATCTCTAAGCTCTATGTAGTTAGAGTTAATAATATGTTTTAATAATGCTTTTAACTATCTAACTACAGCTTATCTGCATTATAATAAATGCGCACACTACTTATATTAGCTGCCTTATTGTCTAATAAGTGCTTTTAACGCTTACATGTTAATCTGCTTAGAGACACTGCACTAGCTACTAAATTAGTGTGTAACGCATTTATATTATGTAATAGGCTCTAATAAACTGCAGTAATTAGAGTATAGAGAGTTCTTAACTATCTTAGTGTATGTAGCATAGAGGACTAGCGCACAGCCTGTTTGCCTCTGCAACCTAGCTTAAAAGTGCATAGGCTAATAGCAATTTTATCTAATATAATAAAAGGCAATAAGACTATTCTAGGCAGTAATAGGTAGTAACTACTACTAGTTAGCGTGTGTAGGACCTAGGCTAGCATAGGGCTCCCTATAATTATAGCTGCGCGTTGCCTGTCCCTTAGCAACATATACAACTCCACACCTAGTAAGTATAGTACGCTAAATGTAGTAGAAGCTGCTGTAAATAAACTATTTAAACTAAAAAGGTGTGCTATAACTATAAAAAAACTGCCTTAATAACTAGAAATATTACTAGGCAAGAGATTATTTTATAAAGAAAAGTTATTATTAAATAGTAACTTTAGTACTATAGTTAATGCTGTAAACTTAAACAACGCATTAATTATAACTAGTTTAAGAGGCAGACTATATTACTCTAACTAGTTCTATTACTAGCAATATTTATGTTGCGCAGCCTGCACAGCTAGACTATTATCTTGCATATAACTACCTAATAAGGCCCTAGTAGCATTATGTATACCTAGTAACCTAGAGATGTTACTTGTTTTAGGGAGCGTGTTGTTTTTGTAAAACTTACTTTATACTGTAAGCATAATACGCTTAAACTTGCTTTTAATAAATGCTAGATGTAACTCTATAAACTCTTAGTCTAATAGTAGACAATTTTGTACACTACTAGTGCTATACCTGCTAGACTTAATAAGCACTATAACTTTATTACTTTTAATATTCTTCTGTCTAGTAATAAGCCTTACTAGCTTTTATTAGTTTAGGTATAAAAAAAACACTAAAGATAGAGGTAAGACTAAAATATTATCTTTAGACACACTATAAACTTTTAGAAAGTACTAAAGAGCAGATGCCTAACATATCTTCTAGATATGCTGCAACACAAAGCTAGCCTTGCTTTTTAGCGTTAGCGCAGTCTTTTTAGCAGGCAGAGGTAAGGCGCTTTAATATAGCATAAGTGCTAGATTATAACCTATGTAATAGGTAACTTTTTCTAAAAAAGGTTACTGCGTTAATTATATAAATAAGTTATTTTAAAAATACTAAAGCAAGTGCTTATAATAACACTTAAAGTTAATTAGGTTTTACTACTTAGGCTTAATGCTAGCCTGTTAGTTTAGCTGTTTATTTGTCTAATTAGAGGGTCTACCTTTACGTCTATTATACTAAAATGTGACTATATAATTCTATAAATTAGCTAAAGTGCTTTTAACCCCTTTTTTTATAGCCTCTAATTTAGGTTTATTGTGTAGAGGTGTAGACCTAGGTAGTAGTGTTATAGCAGGAGTAACAGGCGTCTAACTACTACTAGCAGATACTTAATCTAGCAACGTTATAGTTATTGTCTGCCTTAATGTAGAAAGCTTTATTTTATAATAATCTTTTACTTTTATAGGTTGCTTCTTTTTTGTCTTTTACTTTACCTAGCTGCTAGCCTGTCTATTACTTGCATCTAGATTAGTGCTAAGACAGTTAAATGTATAAAAAGGGACAAATAATATAGCAACTATAGTTTTACTATAACTACGCGCGCTATAACTAAACTGCTGCATTAGATTACTTATATCTTAGGTAATTAAAATATTTTATTAGTATACCTGCTTAATTTTAGAGATATCTATACTTATCCTAAGTGTAGTTGTACAGATAATAATCTAGATAGAGGTATTAGCGCCTTTAAAATTTTAATATATCTCCTACTAGTCTGCGTCTGCAACCTAACTAGTATACGCCTAGACTACCTTCTTAGCATCTGCTATAGAGTAGTGTCTATCTAACACAAGACAAGATTAGAGGAGCCCTATAAGGTTAGTAATATAGGTGTAACTATTAATAAACACACACATCTTTAAAATAAGCTTTAGGTTGCTAGAAGAACTAGTAGTACTAAACTTATAATTAATAATACATAAGAGCTAAGCATATGTGCTTTTACTATAATTATTAATTAGAATAATAGTGTACGTAATTTTAGGGTAATCTACGCACGTTCTAATTACCTCTAGGCTGCCTATTAGATTATTACCTATCCCTAGACCCTCTAGCCTAAAGCTACTAAAACAGCGTACTGCTTTTTCTATCTACTTATTAAACGTAGCAGTACAAGTAAAGAATGTTATATTAGAAAATAAACACTGCTAAAGCTTATAAAACTATAAATACTTTTTCTAGAAATCTTTCTACTGTTATATAACATAGCACTTGTCTAATGCTACTAACTTAACCTAAGTATAGAATATAGTGTTAGTAAATAGCTATTAGAACACTAGTAATACAGCCTACTCTAGACCTAGTAAAATATAAGTGTATAAAAGCTACTAAATCTTTTAGAATATTTTTAAGTTAGTATTTTTTATTTATTTAGTAACTAAATATAGACACGCTCTAGAATACTAGCAGATTGCTTTAAACTACTTATTTTTTAGCTTTAATAGTAGTATAATCTAGAGCGTAATGCTGCCTGTAAACATAGAATATGTATGCAAAATAATGCTCTTTCTAAAGCTAGTGCAGGCTATAAGGATTGTATCCCTAAGGCTATACACAAGCTAACAGACAGCGTGCACCTGCTGCTTATGTAGCTCCCTACTGCCTAACAACTTCTACATAGCCTAAGTAAGTAATAGCGTTTAATACTAGATGTTACACTTTATAAAACACTTATATACTAAATCTTATAAGGCATTAGCACTTAGAGTATAATAGGCTTTAACATAAAAAAGCATTATGCTAGCTAGTCTGTATACTTAATTTAGTGCTGCATAGTTCTTATTTAGCACTAAATAAGTAGTCTTTTCTAAGCAGACAGCTAGAAGACTTAGCGCAAGCTGTACTTGTGCTAGCCTCCTACCTAAACTCTAATTCCCTGCGCGCTAACCTAGCTCTTTAGTCTGCATAGTAGCTACTACAGCAAATAATTAGCAGTACGCATTAAAAAGTGTGTAAACAAACACATAAATAATATGTAAGAAGATACTTATAATATTTAGTGTCTAAACTGCTTACTGCGCAAGCGTTAGTACTGTTTTACCTACTGCAATAGAACTATACGCACAGGACAAAATTAGCAGATCTAGAAGCTAGAGGTAGTTTATAATAGCAAAGATAAATAGCGCCTAAAATATAAGTGCCTTACAATACATAGGCGTAGATAATAAGAGGGGGGGGGAGTTTAGAGTAACACATAAAATTAGTTGTAGAAAAGGTTGTGTTACGCGCGCAAATAGATTTAAATTACCCTAGACATTATTAGATCCTATTTAAAATATGCTTATAATGTTTTTACTAAAGTTTTATATGTTATATTAACTTTTAAAGTCTGTGTATAATATACTTATTATACTATTAAAAATTGCGTCTTTATTCTTAAGTAGTTAAAATTAGTTATGTACATAAAAAATTACTAAAGTCCTTTAGACAGCTAATAAAAGAAAACATTAGTTGCAGGGGTTTAAAACTACTAACCTTAGGTTATACTCTGTTAGGAGTAGCAGTATGCATGGTGGTATGTGCGTTGTCGGTTCTCTCATCAGCCGGCTGAGCTAGCTGAGATAACTCAACGCCACCGTCAGCATATTTCGCTAAAAAGACTTCCTCCAGTCTATCAACCTGCTCACCTTTGAAATGTTTGTTCAGACTGGATCTCTTGACTTCTATCTATGTATGTATAGGACTTTAACTAATGAATAGTAGCGCGAATACGTGGAAGACTGTCACGCAGAACAATCTAATTCAGAGCATAGTTACGCCAGAATGCGATTAAATCATACTTAAGCTAAGACTGTCATTGATGGTAGCAAGTGCTGTCCCGCGACAAGCAGCCTTGTGATGTTTTCGACCGCTGACGATACCAATATGGCGTAGGGTCTTGCGTCGCTCCGTTCAACGCATCGCGTGCGCTCTTCATAACAGCTGATCGCTCCAAATGTACGTGTTAGTAGAGAGCTACTCTAGCAGCGGCTAAACGTTTTCGAAACGAGTAGTCCAATACTGTCTGGCTGAACTCTAAGTGTACGTGGAGTATGTTGAGCATGCTAAGCGCCACCGCTGCCTGCTCATGATGTCTCTCTTCCAGCTCCTCGTTCTGCCGCTCTGCGACTTTAATCCTTTCGTCCATTATCAGACCACGCATTTAAGCGATTTCTTTTGACAGAACAATAATCTCCTCTACAATTGCCCTTCAGTGAGCGTATGTTCATCTACGCACTAGACAAAGACAACTTACGATAATCCCACAGAGGCTGATGCACTTTTTGGTCTCTGCCCCGAATCTGTACAGCAATCTCTTGGATTAACATCTGAAACCTTCTCCATATTTCTTCATTTCGAGCTCAGCTAGTTCATACTAGTAGTAGTAGAGATTCAGTGCTTTTCAAAGCCTTTAAAGCGCTTGACTTTGTACCATGGGTCCTCGAAATTCCCTTGACAATATTAGATTAGTCTCCTCTGCTGCATAGTGGGTGGCTTAGGGCCAGGCTTGGGCAGGTACTTAGTTTACTTGTTCAACTTGGGAAACTGTTTTGAGATAAGAGTCGCTACATTTCGAAATCTTGGGATCAGACGGCTCATGTGGGAAGAGACTCCTTCTCGGGGAAAATGCTTAGAACACGCATTTAAGAAGAAGACCTATCATGCCCCTTCCAAATAGTAAGATCAAACTTTATGCTTTGGGGGTAGTTCGAGACAATTCGAGTCTCAGTTTTCTTTTGTTGATCTTGTTAACTGATAGCGAGCGCAACCTGTTTACCACTACCATTAGGTATCAGACGTAATGCTGCAATTTAGCTAACTTGACATCTCTTTCTGTATTGACCTTTTACGGCCAATATGTGGATCTGTTTCTTGTGTAGGACTTGGAGATGCAGGGTGAATGTTTCGCGTGCACTCATTTCGCTGGGCTGTACTGGTCAGGAAAGCGGAAACTGAGACCTGTTGAAAGAAAGTTGCGGAGATTAGGGTAAGTTAGGCATGAGGTGACGGATTCTGACAGTTTTGTCTGACTTTATATAGTCCCAGGTGCGGCAGTACAGCCTTGTGCGGAGAGGAGTATGACAGTCTAGCGTTCTGAGCAGTCTGACCAATTATGGATTCACACATAGCGGAGATAAATCTCGCAAAAATCTTTCCTTTGAGATATCCCAGGTTGAAGTTCTCATGTCAATCTGCCTTGCAGGACGAGGTGGGGAATTGACTGAACGCCGCATGTAATTAGCTAGTCCCGATCCCTAAGCCACACAACAGCGTTCCCAACCGTACGTAATACGTTTCAACTTGCTGTTTTTTAGGCTGTAACTTCTTAGTTTGTTAGTATGTTTTAACATAAAGGGAGAATTTAAATCTACTTACAGGGCGTAACTGTTATAGCTTACAATCCTCCTACATTTTAACAGCTTATAAGACGTTACAGCGTATATAGTCTACTAAGTCCCCTATTTTACTGTAAATATAACCCTACTAGAGCTAGTTTTTTTGCAGTTAAAAAGCCTTAATTATTAAGCTAGAAAGCTTATTTTTATTATAAGTAATAGTTTTTTTACTTTTAAAAAAAAACCTCTTATAATTATAGCTTATAAAAGAGATAAATAAGAAGTTAAAAGTAATTTTATATAGTGTAAAGTAAAAAAGTTAGTAAATAAAGGGCTATTATTATTAGCTATAGTAACATCTTTATAGTAGCTATTATAGTACTACTGCAACTCTGTTATTTTCTACTACTTTTTATATAAGCAGCTGCTAGTAAGGAGGCTTATGTTAATAAAAAAAGTTTTTTTAAAGCTTTTATTATAATAGTTACTACTAGGTAACTTATGTTATGTAGGCTTCTAGGTAATATTATTATTATTAGCTTTAGCCTTAGATTTTGCATTAACATACTTTTAAAAAATAGCTTTTATTAAAGCTTTAGCTTTTTTATGCTATATAAGGTGCTTTCTTTAGTAGTTTTTAAACTAAATAAGATAAAGTTAAAAGTTTAAAATTATTACTATATAGTAATAAAATATAAGTAGCTTAATAATAAACTTTTTTTAGTATATAAGTAACTTCTCTGTGCTAAATGCTATACTAGATTTAAAGTAGTAATTATTACTTTTACTTTTAAGTTTATTACTTATATATAAGAGCTTAGTATAAAAGTGTTATAAGTTAATAATAAATATTTAAAAAGAGCTATAAAAGCTGTTACTCTTAAAGCGTTTTATTATAAAGTAAAAAACTTTAAAAAACTTATAAAAGTAATTAACCTTTTTTTATTTATTTTTAGTAATAACTTTAGTAAAAGTAAAGTTACTAAAAATAGTAAAGTTTATAAAGTTATTATTAATACTTCTTTACTTATATATAAACTTAGTAATAGTGTCTTTAAGCTTAAAATAGCAAAGAAGTATAAGATAAATGCTGTACTAGTGTATACTACTATCTTATATAAGATTAAGCGTTTTAAAGCTCTAAAAAGAGTTATTATTATTAAAAGTAGCCTAAAAAGTTATAAAAGCTTTTTATTATTTATATAATACTAGCACTATATTTATAAAATTATAAAGTTTTTTAATAACTTTATAGTAGTAATAAAGGTTAAATTATTTCTAAGAAGTTACTTAAGTAAGCTTTACTTTAAAAGCGCTTATTTTTTTACTATAAATAACTGCTTTTACTACTAGCTAGATTGTATAGCTAGCGCAGTGTATACAGTGCTTAAAGGTAAGGGGCATATTAAGATGTTAGGCAAGAGTAAAGATAGTTTTATTATTATTATTTAACATATTATTAGCTACTAAATAATAAAATTTTAACATAATTTTAAAGTTATTAATAACTTTAATAATCTCTAGCACTTAATTTACTTTAGTATAGTTACTATATAAGTTATAAAAGCTAATTAAGATGTTATAGTGTTAGTAGTTAACATCTACATAGTATTATTAGTTAGTGTTTAGTTTAATAAAAAATGCTAAAATGCTAAACTAATAAGCTAAAGTACACCTACTAATAAAGTGCAACACTACACCTAAGAAAAAGAGGTAGTTTAAAGAAGTCTATATATTAATGCTTAATATAATTTTACTTTAGGCTATTTTTAGCATTATTTAAATCTCCTGCTTCTGCTGCGTATATCCCTACTACATATAAGATAAATATGTAGTGTTAGACGCTAAAAGAGTAGTAAGAAAATTAGCTTTATTTTAAGTAATAATGCTTTAAAGTTTTACTAATAATGCTATATAAAAAAAATATTATAAAGTATTACTTAGTTAATAACTACTACTTATAAAGCTTCTTTCTACTAAATACTATAAAAAATAATATATAATAAGCCTATAACTTTATAAGCTGCTTTAAATAAACTTAAAATTTTTTTTAGCTTATTAAGTAAAAAAGCACTTTTACTTCTTTTACTAACATTTATCTAGTGCTTTTTTCTAAGGTAGTAGATAATATAAGTGTAACTATTAACTTTCTTTACCTTTTTATAATTACCTTTAGTGTAGCACCTTTTATAAAGCTATAACTTTATTCTAGAAGTGTTTTTTTTATTATTATATACTAAATTAGCTTTATAAAGCTATATCTAGAATAATTAATAATTACTATATAATTAGCTTTTATGCTTTACTTAGTATTTAAGCTTTTTTAGCTTTAACTTTTTATTTCTTATCTAAACATTATTCTACTTAATAGTAAATAATACTTTATTATTAAAAGTAAAGTTATCTAAGTACTTTTTTATAAAAGCTAAAAAACTATTAGATAGTGTACTATTATAAAAGAAAACTAAAAACTTTAATAATAAGAACTTTAATTAAGTAAGTTAACAAGAACTAGCATAATAAGTAACCCTAGTTTAGTAGAAAAAGCTAGCTTAAAAGAATTCTTAAGATAAGGCTGTACACCTGCTATGCTAAAAGAACTAGAACATTTAGCTTATAATAAGTAAGTTTATAAGTAATTATAATTCTTAACTAAAATTATAAGATCTTACGCCTTAATTCTTTTTTTACTAGCTTTTTAATTATTATATAAACTATAGAGTTTTTACTTAATTATTACTTTAAAAATATAACTTTAAACACTTTTCTAACATGTCCCTATAGCTGTCTAATAAGACCTTATATTACTAGGAAATATTGTCTCTCTAAGACGTATTACAGTCTGTAATGGGAGCTGGCTCCTACGTACGTTACGGCTCTTACGGCTCACACTCCTCCTACGTTTCAACGGCTCACGTGACTGCTACGTTCACGTATCTACGAGTCGTAGTACGTACGGTTGGGAACGCTGGCACACAACATCAGACCGCTCAACATTAACTACCGCATCCACGTTCCACACTTGAATGAGCCTTGATGAACCTTCAAGGCGCCAACGTACCGCCTTGCTCCGCTATGATGGATGCCTTTTTTCACAACCTGTTCATATTAAGCCCGCCTCTCGCTAGCACTTCAGTCATTCCGCATACTATTTCTCGCGAAACCACTGCTTAATATAGTCCCAACAAGATCATGTCTGATCTCGGTCTCGTAAGCAATTGTTTAAGCACTAAGTGCCTGAACGAACTCCACAATATCGAAAGTGGACGCCTGAGCATTAACACCGTCACGTTGTCAATTACTATCATTGTTCTCTCTTTTTTCCTCGAAATAGTCGTACACACAAGCCTCGACCATCGAGCTTCCGCTACAGAACCCACCGATTCCGAGAACGATGTTAATGACCTGGACACACCAACACCTTCAAATGCCACACTAGAAGACCGAGCTTCCGTTACACAGCTCACCTCCTCCGAGGAAGCTATCAATACCCAAGACACTCTAACACCTTCAAATACCCCACCCGATGTCCGCGCTAAGCGATTAATTTGCGCAATATTTCTCATCACTCCCATTTGCATCGCCTTCGGGTTCCGCATCCAAGACACAATACTACATTACCCAACCGCCTGCAATTGCCCAAACAATCCCCACATTGCACCGCCGAACTGGTGGGCTATCACCATCTTCAACATTTTACCCTTCGTCTGCGCATGCTCTGCCTTCCTTAGGGCATTGACGGATTGTATCCTTGCGCGGTGGAATAAGAGTCTACGTGATGAATGGTGGCCGGAGTACGCACCTATTGTGGCGATTGCGTGGATGGTTCTGATACTGCCTGCGGTTGTTGGAGGGATATTCTGGTTCGTTGCGATGTGGTTTATGGGGGCTTTGGAGACGGAAATAGGTCAGAACGCCAAGGTGAAGGTTCCTCAGGATGAGGAGAGTCAGGTGTTGGTGAACAGTATGGATGAAAGGGAGAGGGAGGGGGAGGATGACGAGGAGACGATGTATAGTCTGCGCAGTTCAGCGGAGTTGACTGGGTGTGAGGGTGACTTAAAGATGTCGAATATTTTGTAATCACAGTAGACAATTAATGGGCACTAGACAACCAGCTCTAGTTTGTCTTACAGTGTTTGCTTAAAAACATTTCCGCGTTTCAAGACCTTATCAATCCCCCAAACCTTCAATAGATACCCCAGTACCACCTCCACCCCAACTCCTTCCTCACAAACCCCTCTCCGCTTCTACCTTCAACCCCTGCACATAATACGGCCCACCCTCACAAACTCCCTTACTCCTCCCACAAACCACTCCCCAACACACCTCCAACTGTGTCAACAGATTCCTCACTGCAATACACGCCCCGCTTCCCTGCCCTCTCATTCCGCGTATCCTCGACGGCGGAAATCCAGACTCCTCCATCAAGACCAGCGTACGGGAGCCTTCGAGGACAGCAAGCTGAGCGACCAGCGTGCTTTCTGGAAGGTTGGAAATTAGTACTATGATATGGGATGAGGAGGGGATGTCGTAGATGCATTTTGCGGTTGCTGGAAGCTGTTAGCTAGGAAGGGGAAAGGGGAAAGGGGAAAGGAGAGAAATACTTATGATCCGCTGCTCAAGTTTATCACAAAGTAGCGCTTCCTCAAAATCTTCTCGTATATTGAATACGTTATTTGCCTCTAGTATTTTGCTAGATACACGTGCGGCAGAAGAGCTTCCTAGGGCTGGTGGTGGCGTTGGTGTCTTTCGTTCCATTAGGAGATCTGAGATACCACCTAGTAAAGGAGACGCGCTTCTTGAGAGCTCTAGGGAGCTGAGCAGGTCGTCTGGATCGCGGAAGAAGCTTCTCAATAGCCCAAAGAAGTCAGATATCCAGGGGGCAGGTAGGAGGAGATGCTAGAGGAGCTTCGCGATAACAATAAGAATGCGGACATGTTGGTAGCTGGAGTGGGTTTAATATAGTGTATTCTTCGGGAGTAGGAACGGGTGGCAATTGATTGTTAGGTCTGAGGTTTGATGATCTCGTGCTTTCGGTCCCGTAGATATACCATAGTGCTACCTAGTTAACTGTGAATGCATCTAGCAAACCGTGGTTCGGTTGTGAATTCTAGAGAACCTGCCCGTTGAGAGTCTCGGATACCATTAGTTTTTGCCAACATGGAAGATAATGTTTCATTCTCCGTCTGCTTAAATGGTATATACAAACCTGGGGCTCTCATCTCCCAGCTCTGCGATCTCCTCATCAGTCATACCCTGAACCGTATGATCTTCGTTGCCCTTTCCCCGCTGGGCGTTCACCCCCGCAAAGTAAAACCACATAAATGCGTAGACAGACACTGCCCACGCCACCATGGCTAGGGATACTGCATGACCACGAACGTATCGAGGGCCTTCTTTCGCTGGGTAGAGCTGAGGAAAGTCAGTAATATTCCTTTCGATTCCATGATGAAGATAATGACTTACGAAGCTCGCCATGATGCCACTACAATTTCCGATGCTGAGTTGCAACCCTGTTGCCGTAGTCCTCTTCCCATACCGCGGGCAATTCGTCGGAAGCCATGCCAACGGCAAACCTACTACGACATAGAGACCCATAGCCACCAAAAAGCAGCCCGCGTAGTGCACACCCGAGCTCGAATCGCTAATTAGCATCGCATAGCCTACAATACTAACAAGGCCCAGTAGCACAGCATACATTCCTCTCCTTTGCTGGTGGTCCGAAACACGTGCCGTGATGAGATACGTGATTGCACCGAGAGTATAACAAGGAATCGTCAAGACCTGTACGAGTGCTGGGGATGCCCCAGGATTGATACCCCTGATGATTGTCGGGAGAAACGTTGAATAACCGTAGAGCATCGTATCCGCTCCAAACTGCGCGAAGCTGAAAGCCCAAATTTTCCAGTCTTTCAAACCAGCCTTTACATCTTTCCAGTGGAACTCTGTGGCCCTCTTCGTGTACCCGGTTTGGCGAGTGAGTCGAGTTGTAGCAAGCGCTTTCTCTTTTTCGGTGAGGAAATACGCGGTGTGCGGGTTATCTGGGAGTATCCACCATGTTGCGATACCAAGGACGAATGTGGGAAGTCCTTCGATGATCATGATCCACCGCCATCCACTTTGCCCAGAAATGCCCTGCATGTGACCAACTGCAAAGGCGAGAAGACCACCGCAAGCTCCTGCCAATGCTGCTGATACGAACAAGTACCCGATTCGAAGAGCAAGTTCGCGTTTAGTGTAGAAGAAAGTGAGGTAGATCGCCATGCCTGGGAAAAGACCTCCTTCAACTGCACCGAGGAAGAGTCTACATACAATCAATCCGGCGTAATTCTGTACAACCCCTGTCAAAGTAGCGATGATTCCCCATGCAACGGTAATGAAGGAGATCCAGCGTGAGGGCCGTAGTTTCTTAAGGACCAGGTTGGAGGGCAGTTCGGAGAGAATATAGGTGACAAAGAGAATGGAGAGGGCGACTTGGAATTGGGTCGAGTTGATACTGAGGTCGGTTTCCATTTTGTAGAGTCGTGCATTGCCGATGTTTACTCTGTGAGATGGAGTTAGATCGGTGGATGCTTTGGGAAGGGTTAAACGCCGAGTCCATCTAGAAACTTCCGTAGGTGTCTGCTCAGATTGAGCAAGGCTAAGCAAGGAAAATATCTTAGAGCAGACATATGGGTTGTATTGGAAAAGGGTGTTGGGACACCCTGCCTCCGAGGGCCAAGTGGGAGACTGGGAAATCCCTTCAACAGCCAAAGTCTCCTTCTCTCTTATAAGGTTTACGCGAAATCTCAAGCTCACCGGTCCAAAAAACTCAGCAAGTACAGCAGCATCACCACCGGCACCAAATAAATATCCAACTTTCTAACCAACTTCGCTTCAGCAACCACATCCAACGCTTCAAGCTGTCGCTCGACCTCATCCTCATCGACCGATTTCTCAGCATCAGCAGCCGGATTCGGCACCGAGATTTCTTTATCCGAGTTGCTCATATTGTCAGCACTCCGTCGAACCGAAAGTCGAGATTCCTGATATCGGTGGCGTTCGTATTTGGGTCTTCTTGATCAAAATAGGAAAGCGGGATGAAAGCCTCACCGATGTCCTCTCTGATGCCCAGGAACATCTCAAACCTAGAGCTTTTTACATTACTGCGCAATGTCGCACCTTTTAAAAGTTCTGCTACCCATGTCTGACGCCAGTGATAGCCGACCCACCAAGGGTCAAGGTCGCTCACACGCGGGGCTGGACCAATGAAATTTGCCGGCCTTCCCTGCTTCGGCATGACGTTGGTGGCTAAACTGCTTTGATGGTAGAGATACGAGACTTGAGGTTACACGCAAGAAAAGATAACGCGTGCTGGTGCCCAGAATATGATGGGTTTGCCAATGTTGGGGGGAATTGTTTAGGCAGGTGGTTGGAAGAAGTAGGTTTGGATGTCTGGGCGGAGGTACTGAGGATTGCATTTTGATGCCTTCGGAATACTGAGGAGGCTATAAAGCTATTAGATTGTGTGCTACTTTGTGGTGGTGTTGGGCTCTATTTCCCTTGATTTGGAGAGGAGTTTGTAAGTCGAACTAATACGCTAATCAATAGCGGGTTCCTGCAGGTCCGCTGGTAACCTCCCTCACCCTCAGGCATCCCCTGTTCTCAGGGAGACTCCTCTTCCCCATTTTCGGATCGTGTTCTTCAAAAGCGGTGAAATCGATACCTTGCTTTAGCTAAGACCGCCATTGTTCCGTGTGTCATGAAGTTTAATACATCGACGAATCCAAATCCATCGGCAGAACTATGCCGCTATACATGTCGATTTGTGTGGAGGGATTGATAGGCCAGATCAGATCATCTCTTGGGATTTCAGTCTCTGCCGTTCCTTCGACTTCTGCAGAATGATTTCTTTGCGGAATAGAAAGTGTCCTTCGAGCAATGAATCTAATGTCTCTTGCCATCTTTTTTGCAAGGGGCCATAGGCTCCCCATAGCATTCAGGGCGCCTATACTCAACCGAATACGATCCCGAGCTATCGATAATGCGCGGTCTTCTAGCAAGACATTGCAGGCTGCTATTTGCGCCGCGGCAAGAGAGGCAGATATGCACAGGGTAAAAAGGTGATGCTTTTCCATGACGCAAGGGATGGCGAGGAGTTTTGTTTGCATCTCTGCTGCTTTCAGAGAGCGAGCTGTATGTGCGCCGCGGCCTTGTAGTGGGGGCTCAAAAAAGGGGATTGGGGAGGTGAAGCTGGTAACAGAGAGCTCTTCGATGCTGTAGGAGAGTGAAGAGAAGGGACGGTGGGTGTTCATCAAGATACTAGAGTGTTTCTTAGCACTTTCAGGGAGGCGAGTTTTGAACTTACATAGTAGCGATCATGTGTGCTAAATACATGATCTCGTCAACAGTTCCATCCTGCCGTAACGGATCCTTCTTGCAAGCTGGGAGCAGCGATTGCCATATGGCAACCTTTGCCTCTGCGTTGGAGATTAGAGTTTCCCCAAATACCCCTGTTTCAAGGAATGTTCGCATGATATATGCAACAATTGAAGCAACATCGTATAGATACACGAGGGATGAGTAGATCACTTCGACTTCAGCGAACTCCCTTGATTTGTATTCTTGCCAAGTCACTGGAGGCGGTATTTGCTAGGTCACTTAGCCATCAGTTCATATAAGAAAATCCGGACACTTACGCCAGCTTCGTAATACTCATCATCGCAAGGGAGATCAACCAGATTAAGAACCTCCCGCATTGAGTAAAATGCACTACCTATGACGACGGCAAAATGTTGATCGGCAAGATGAAGAAAGTAATAAGTCCTTCGCCAAGATTCTTCTAGCACTGGGTCCCTCTCCCCATGGTCTTGCGCGAACTCCTTAGAGTTGATTCGCAACTCAAGACCTAATGCAACGGCTGCATCTAACGTTTTCCGTGACTCTGGGCGAAAGTCACAATGATGTTGCGCGATAGCAAACAGTAGCAAGGCCTGGAGAGAGAAGCCTGTTTTTGGAAGTTCGGACACAGTGAGTTCGTGGTACGCTTTCTGATAGAACGGCTCGGATGAAGTCCATGGGGCATAGATTGATCCAATCCACTGAATTACCAGCAGTAGATGCTCCATTTTATGGTTTCCCATCATGATTCTTTGCCGAAAAAACCGGAGCGGAAGCGTAATGGGGGTCGACACGTAAAAGTTCTCATAATAAAGGTCTAGCAGCCGATCAGGATTTACTGGAAATAAAAGACTAGAGGAAGAGAAAGAAGATCCTAGAGCTTTCAAAGAGGTAAGGTTTGGTGACTCGAAGTTCGGAACGATAATGTGGTCATTTTGCTCTCCACTATTTGGAGAATCTGTCGACGATTCTTGGGCAGGGCATTCGTCGATCTGCTGGGGTTGTTGAGCTTGCTTCTGCAATGCAATACGTCGCCGTGCTAGAGCCGCTTTATCCAGGCCTCCTCTTCGAGATTTCATATAAAGGCATTCTTTTCCGTCGCGTTTACAGCGGTTGCAGACTGGTTGAGTGGCATCGCATTTGACATGCCGGCTGCGACATTGGATGCACGCTAGAGCAACGCGATCGATTGGTTTCGATCCCGAAGACGATAGATCCATTGGAAGGGGTGCAGGAAATTTAGTTTGGCAGAGCTCGAGGGTTGATGATGTCCGCGTTCTTTGAGGCTGAGGTTTCGAACGTCACAGGCTGCTGATGCGCCGCAATGGCGCTAACCAAAGAGAGAGCTGCGAACCGACAAGATATAAAAAATGCCGGTGGACGCCGTAGGATATCGGTATCGAGTGATACAGTTAGTTTAGGTTCTTAATCATATCAATTTTCAGGGAGTCACATTTCAGTAATGGTATTCATAGATACTGTACAAGTTGGAAAGGCAGGGTCTTAAACCTCTGCACCTTCACCACTCTCTTTCTTTGTTTCCTTTCCCTTCGGGACAATCTTCAAGGAGAAGTCAACGTGCTTGACTCCTTGATGTATGCTACTCGTGCTCACAATATCGACATCCCTGCAAACGTATCCCTCGACATTATCCTCGGTCAAACCTCCGCTAACCTCCACCAAGAAGGCCTTTCTATCACCAGTACCCCTTCCCCATTTGTCTTTTAATTGGGCGGCTGCCACCTTCACTCCATCAGGGGTAAAATTGTCCAGCATTACTACATCTGCACCAGCTCCGATGGCTTCATCTGCCTCCTCGATGCTTTGACATTCGACTTCGACCTTGATAGCGAAGCCACCTGCAGACTTAGCAGCGCGGACGGCGTTTGTAATGCTTCCAGCAGCGACAATGTGATTGTCTTTCAACATGGTCATAGCAGAAAGATCAATACGATGCGGGTCGACTCCTCCAACCAGCATGCCGTACTTCTCAACAAGCCGAAACCCTGGTGTTGTCTTACGTGTGCCCGCAAGGATGTTCTGGTATCCTGCCTTTCGAAGGAGAACGAGAAGACGTTCGGACTTTGTAGCTATTCCGGAGCATCGCGCGAGTGTGTTAAGGGCAACTCTTTCGCCTAGTAACAACTTCCGTACGGGTCCTCGTACAGTGGCACAATGCTTGATCGGCTGGATAGCTTCGCCCTCCTTGACGTGCCATTCGACACTAAGTACTGTCAGGCTTTGGTTTCTTCAGCTCCTGTGTTCCTCATGATAACTCACGTGCAATCCAGTTGCCGAAACACTTCATCAAAGAATGGGACCCCTGCTACTATGCCCTTGGCTTCTTGTTAACTCAATTTCCGAGAGCATGCCATTAGACTAACTTCACTCTTGCCTAGCAGTTTGGCCTCTGACGTGTCCTCCCCAACCACGAAGCCTCCATAGTCGAAGCTCGGAGTATCCTCCTCCAGCCATTCCGAGACTAGCCGTTTGTAAGTATTAGGAAGAAGATACGCAACCGTTCCTTGTGCGGGAGCTCCTTCAGCCATTATAAGGCGAATGTGGGTTAGAGGTTGAGGAGAGCACTTGAATGTTTAAATGTTTAGGCCATGACTCTCGGGAAGCCCAAGAGTGGCACGTGGAGAGTGAATTCCGTCCGCGGCCTTAGGAGGCTTATCGATAAGGGTAGCGTCGGCACGAATCGGAATCTTCCTACGCAATTGCTTTTGGTCTCCCATCACTACTCACTGATTTCAACATTTCATTGCATTGCGTCAGAGCTTTCTACATCTTTGCCTTCAAATACTGCCAAGTTTTTCTTCGTCTCCTCTCTCGAAAACCTCACCAAAATATCCCTTCGTTCCCTCTCTCCTGCCGCCTTCCTGGCCTCGAAATCCTCCGTCGCATCCATCATCAGCCGCTTCGCCATCTGCAAGGCCTCCCCACTATACCGTCCAATCGTCTTTGCCTTCTTAACAACCTCCAGAAGGAAATCGTCAGTCGTCGGGGAATCAACGACAGCCGTGATCAACCCAGAAATATACGCTTGCTGCGCAGACAACCTCTCTCCCGCCAGCAACAATTGGTTGGCCTGTGGCTTGCCCATAATCGTAGGAAAGGTGTACGATGATCCACCTTCAGGGACTAGACCGAGAGGCATAAATGGCGTTTGGAAGAACGCGTTTTGATGCGCATAAATGAGATCAAAGTAGGAGAGTTGTGTGCAACCCCAGCCGATGCTCGCGCCATGGACGGCTGCGATGAGGACCTTAGGGTATCGCAAGAGAACTTCCGAAAGCCGGCTCCCGGCAGCGACTTCCTCGTTGATTGTATTTTCTGCGCCGCCCATTGCTCGACCAGCGCAGTAATGTCGTCCTTTTCCAGTGCTGCGAGTCCGCATATCAGATAGCTGGCCATGGTAAGGAATACTGAACTTACACAACGATCACTCTAATTGCAGGTTCATCTCTCGCCCATACGAGACCTTTTCTCAAATCATTGTACTGCCGCGGTGTGAATGCATTTAACCTCTTCGGCATATTGTAGCTCAGAAGCACAGTGCCATCTGAGAGACGATCGATCAGGATAGTTTCGAGTTGCGGAGCCGGCGCCATGGTAGGGACATCAATTTCCTCAAATTCCTCAACATCTGGCTTGCTATTGTTGCTTGTTTCTTTAATAGGGGGTTTTCAAGTTCAAGTGATTTTGCCCGATTCTGAAGTATCCATCATCTACGAGGGGCTCTGCGCAGCTACCTCGGGAAAGCGAGTCGCCCTGCTTGACCACCGCAACATCCAACATCTTTCTCGTCTTCATTACTTTTCAATTCCTATAGCTAGAATCTGTCACAGTCTCGAAAAATGCCTATTTTTTCTACTCTTCAATACCCTTACAATTATAACTACCAGCAAACCTCCCATTCGCCGCCACCATCAAAAAAACCACTCTGTTCTCATCACGAGCACACCGAGTATTGTTGCAGATGCTACTCATCATCGATGCAACAGCCAGTGCCTCCCGTTCCCTTTCAATTAACTTCAGTCCCATTTTCATCTTTCTTCACTCGTCTCAGCGCTAGCCGTGAACGGCATCACTAGTTTCATAAGATTATTGACCATTGGTCGAAGCTCCTAGCTCACGCATAGCCGAAGTCCTATGTAGATTTCAAGCCCTTGGGTTCTATCCTTGGGAACTATGGCGAGCGCTATGTTTCCCGAGTAACGTACCTTGCATACAGTCGTTGCAGAGTCAACGCTCATACCGGCCGTGGAGGACACCACATTGGAAGATTGTGGAGAAATTTAGTTGCCAGAATTAGAAGCTTCAAGGCTTGAACCCAATCCGAACACATTCCGGTGAGGCCGGGAAAAATTTCGTGGGGATACTCCCATCAAGAACCTGGCTTTCGAGTTCAGGCTCATGAGAAGGACGATTGTCGACGAGACCCGAATGCTGTTCGCACATAGGTATCTTTTGAGTTGGATTTGTTGGTCCGGACACCATACGTAGATCTCGACAGCCATATCTTAACTATGTTTGGGATTTCTGAAATGAGTGAATCCTGTCCAGAAGAGCCCAAAGTCCACTGAGAACATCCATATAGTTTCGCAGAGTTTTAGTCACTTGCGGTACAATGCTACGTCGCATAACCCGTCTCCTTCCAATTCCTCCATGGACTCGAGGTTATTTGTTTTTGTACCGCTTGGGTAGCGGAAGAGTCCAATTCTGTCTTTGTCATATGTTTGCCAAATAAGAAGTTATCGTCAATTCGAGCTCCATGTAGGTGAGGTTGCTGATTGTAACGCATAGACGAACAGCCTTTCCAATTTGTTCCAATACATCCATCAAATTTGCTCTAGATGGTTACGCACCTTGCGGGGTTTGTTTCTCGCGGGGCAGAGAACTAAACTCGTACTCGCATTACTGAGGGACTCGCAAGGTCTGCGCACATAAATCATCGTTTCGTTAAACCTCCCTTTTGATTCCAGTTCTTTCATGAGATATTTCGTTAGCGTCTTTTAATCCTCGAGGGGATTGTCCCCAGGGTTTAAAGAAGTAAGTCGCTCCCCAACACATGGCTAGGTACAGATTTAGCACTAGGGATTGTAGGCAAGTCTCAAGTCACCAAATTTCTTGCTGCCTTTATTTTCCCGGTGCCGGTGTTGTCATAGTACGTCCATCTGTACTCTTTTCCTTTGCTTGTTCTTGTCCTCGAGAGTCCTGGATAGTAGGAAGAATCCAGCTGCCCACAGATATGTGGCATACAAATCGAGCGCGCTCCATGGGGTCTATTCTTGAGACTTTTAGCTGAACGCACCTCTCCAGAGTTTTCATTCCCACTGCAGCGCCCTTCTGGAAGTCATGCAGAAAGGCGCTAAGGCTTTGCGCACCTATGAATGAAAGAACCCATAACCCCCAGCGCACTCCTGACTCCTCGAGCGCGTTCTCTCAGGACATAACCGGCTCGTATTAGTCTTTTAGTCTCCTTTCCGCCGCGGTTAATAAAATGGGCCTAACCCGTCTTTCTTATCTTAGCAACCAACTCTGATATTCTGATCGATTATACTTTTATCTCATCATTCACATGGACCGATTGCAGTGCTTCCATGACGCTCCTGTTCATATGTTTCATTCAGATGTCGGCAGTGGAAATGACTTTCAAATTCTAGTCTTTAGGTCACGCCTCGTGATCATTGAGATTTTGATCGTCAACACCCTTCAGTCTAAGTTCCCTAGAATTTCCTAATAGTCTGCTAGAACCTCCATTGCGTTTGGTGTTCTCATTTTCATTCCCCGGGGTAGCTCATTGCAATGGAAAGTTAGTCGGCTTCTAAAACGAAGTGTTTGGACTGGTCGATTGGATCACCATGGCATGACACCTGTGTTAATTTGTTCCCTAGCATTGTGCATGTGGATGGAACGTTTTGCATTGGATCCCACTCATTCAGGTTTGGAATTGGGAGTGATAAGACTAGTGGACTCTGAATTTGACCTCATGCCCCACATAATAGCTGCTGCCTTCAGGTTCTGCTCAATCGAAGCCACCATGTGCTTGTACATTATCCTCTTTAGATCTAGCAAGCCCCATGGCTGATACTGTACAGACGCTTTTGACTCTCCGAGTTGATCGAGATGCTGGGTGGGAAGGTGACTGAAGGATTTCCAGACGTAAAAGTAGCTGAGACCTTGTTTCTGATCACTCCAAGCGTCCAATAGCTACAAGGCAGCATGACTATGAAAGCTCGATATCATTCTAAGACGCATTCCGTTTAGAAATTGGAATTCGGGTTTGAGTACTTCCATCAAACAAGCGTATCGCAATTTAAAGTTCCGGCTTCGTGGGAGGCGGCCAGTCACGGTTGGTTCATTTCGGTATCGTTGTACAACTTCGATTTCGCCGCGATTCAAAGAATCCATAAGTGAGGCGAAAAAATAGTTCACGTACTCCCATCGGGATATAATACAGTCCGCTCCAGGCCCCTGATTGGGTTCTTACGTCGTGGCAAAAGGTCCGGTCCGGTCTCTCCATTTCGTTGAATCCGGACACATTCGATTCTTGCGGCAATCCTAAGACTCCAAAATCAAAAGTGAATTGAGATTCTAGCTCCCGGGAGTCACCACCAACTAGTTTTGTATATCCTCGGTTCTCCCATGTCGAAGACTTTGCGCCATTTTATTCTCTCCTCGAGCCGAGTCGATGAAGAGATCGACACAGAGTCCACGGACATTCGCATGATATCTCTTTGTTTCCGTCGGCTATTCATGAACTCAGGGGTTCGGAAATATTCATATGCTCGGGTTGGAGTAACCATGGAGGGTATTCTTTGTTGATTTCTTAGCGCTCCTATTTCCGTCATGTTAGCTCCTTTCATCCACTCCGCGAGAATAAAATCGGCGAAAGAAGAGCAAGACAGAGTCCACAGACATGAATTCGCTATTCCGAATATTCGGTCGATCCAGAAGCCATGCGTCTATTTCAGTGCTGATATTTTTTTTTCTCTCCAAGGAAGAGGCAGCAGACTCCGCACACATTCTGCTCTGGGTTGAGAAATCTGGTTGATCCGGAAGCCATGGTATTCTCAATCCACTCGCTTTTTCTATGCTTGCTCCATACTTTCGTTCGAGGTTATTTTTTGTTCCCTTCCTCAGGGAGATGCGGAATGTAGTAGAAGGCAACAGTGCTCTGAGAATCAGCTTTTATATTCTCGACTCCAAAATAGCAAGGCTTTTACGGACATTATGTACTGCCCAGCTGTTTTTCGGCCTGATGATATTTCTAAAACAATCTAGTGGCATCCCCGGTAGAGGTAGGCTCACTTTCCTCCCCCTGTATATAAATATATATATTCGCACTAGCAGGCTTGAAGGGTGCCATTTGGGGGCCATCCGCCCAGGATTTCCATTTCTAGTTTGATAGGTATCATACTGCCCCTTCGGGATAGTTGAAGATTTCAGAGAAGCCCAGCTGTGTCAGACATTCGTGAAGCATAGCAAGGTTTTAGTTGATCTAGGAATCACAGACCCTTTTTCTGGTTTGTTTATCTACAGCTCTTCCATAGAAAGGTGATAGGTCATCTTTGAATGTCTAGGAAGAAGAGAGGAGTGAAATTAGTCCTTTATAACCGCGACTCTAGAATTAGAGATGCTTCCCAGGGCTAGAGTGTTCTATCATCGTATTTTGAAGTTCTTGTAGTCTGAGACGATGCTGCAACGTCTCATACGTATGCGGTCATGCTGCCATACTTTTATCCAGCTCCGACGGGTATGATCCTGCAGTATTAGTGATATGTCTGTCTGAACGCTCCATAGAGTTTTTGTATTCTCCTCTTGGCAATCGAATGGTTCGGAAAGTGCCTAGGACATGTCGAAAACATTTTAGTGAATCCAGGACACCAACCCTGTCACCTGAATGGTTTGTTTTTATTCGCAGTATTTCCATAGCGTCGTCGTATGGGCCATTTTAGTTCCCTCCGCGAAGGAGAATGAGAGCGTTAGCCTGGCACGGGTGGCAAAGGTTGTAAAAACCCATCCATAAGCCACAATGACACCACCACCTCTGATTCGCAAAGTGATAGCATTACCCATGTTCATACTCATATCGCGCTTCCAGCAATAATATCCTACATCTGTGGCTCCACCATGCCAATCAGTGGAGCAAACTAAACAAAACATCCCCCTTCCCTCTCCGAACAAAGCAAACAAACATGAAGCCCCAGTAGAGCCCAAGCTCACGACATAGCCTCATACGCCATACTCATCTCTAGACACAAGATGTATGCCATAGAATGGAATGAGAAAGAAAACTCGACCCCCTGTCAATCCGATGCCCAAAACCCTCTCCCCAAAAAACGCCGAAAGATGCACCTGCAAATGTAGGTAGGTAGTGCCCATACTACTTCCAGTCCAGATAGTACTATACAACTAGGTGTGTCCACCCAACTCTTCCTCAGACCTCCAAAGCTCCGACCATGTAGAACAACAAATACGCCTCCGCGCCTAGGACCTCTTTCTCGCTCACGAGAACGACTTTACTATCATCGAAGAGGAACCAATCATTCCCTTCTCTCGAATAACTGACGTAGTGTCCCGAGTCCATCTTGCCTTTATGCACAATAACGCTGGAAAGCTCGTACGGTATGCTATGAGCTGGGGTGTTGATGTTGTAATTTGTATTCGATTGTCCGGACATCTTCGCGGCTTTCGTTTGCGAGGCCTTATATTGTGTGGTGTAGGGGTAGAGGTCGAGCTTCATGGGGAATTTGACTTTCGTTTCGATCTTGGAGGATGTGGATTTCATGTGCTCAAAGCGCTGTTCCCAATTAGTTTTACGCCACTGGGTTCTACATCTAGAAGGGTGCCTTGCCTTTAGATGAATAGGGAGAACAGGCGGCAACCTCTTGATACTCAACTGCTTTGTCACAGTCTGTTGACCATCGCAATTCTGGCATGTGTACTCAGTTGCCGCCAGTTTCTCCCTACTAGTGAATCTCTCCAAGCACTCTCTCAGATCCAACGGAGAGAAGGAGTCGTCTCCATTGCTCTCCTGCAGATTCAATTTCCGCTTCTTGGACTGATTCCGAACGTCCAGACTCAAGTCCATATACGGATCCAAAGTTGCTGTCACATTCCGACATTTATCACAGGTCACTGTGCTTGAGAGCTTTCCGTAGAAGGTCCGGTGCACTATGCATTTGCAATCGGAGTCGCAATCCGATGAGCCGCCGTTCTGGAGGTGGAGCGCGTTGAGGATGAATTGCATGTATTCGTGGGCGTCTTGCTGTTGGTAGCCTGCGAGGGCCTGGAAGGGCGCGTTAGCAAGGGGCCAATCCTTCACGATAAGCTCAAGGACAGAAAGACAGAACGCACCTCCGCGGCCAGCCAGCTGCCCAGGAGCATGCTGACGGCGCCAAAGCCCTCAGTCTTTTCAACCGAGTGAAATTCGACGAACATTTCGTCCAATGCGCAGCTCACGCATGCCTCCTTCTCGCAGTCGACGGTCCGGTGTCCTTCTGCGAGGTAGAAGTTCCGGATGAACGGATTATGTATTAGAGTCTGGAGTATGACGCTCATGAAACATGTCTGTCCCATGTTGTAGAGGCCGCGGAGCCCGATCGCTCGACAGGGGAGGAAGGTGGAGTTGTTCACGATGAGTTTAACCTCGTCGGTGGTGATGGGGTCTTCATGCTTGCGTTTCTTGCCTGCGATCATTCCCATTAGCTCCCATGCTCGTCCAGGAGCCACAAGTGTGTCTACCAACCTTTCTGAAGTCTCCGAAGCTCTAGGTCAGGGTCGTAGATGAAATCTTGGCAATTCCCGCAGTAGATGTGCCCGTCCCGAGACTCGACAGCTGAAATCCAGATTAGCCCGACACACCAAGTATCCCCGTTATGACTGACAGAAGCAGTGTAGTTTCGCCTCCACATGCTGGTCCCTCTCGGCCTCGGGTAGCACACTCGGACACTGGAGACATAGATAGACGGGTCTGAGGGCGACAACGGGCCGGCCGTCGCCAGCAGCAGGCGTCCTGTGGGTCTGAGCTATCACGCTCGGCTTCTCGTGGATGTCTTGCAGGATAGCTCTGTAGTTGTGGAGGGTGAGCTTCCGGGCATTCTCCATCATGTCTCGCATGTGCTCTGCCAGATTCTGTGTCAGCGCCGAATTCCCCACGAGAAGCAAGAAGCACTCACCGCAGCCATACTCAACATATGCCATCTGGCTGCTCGGCACAATAGCCCCCTTGGAGTTCTTGACGACCTTGGGCGAGGCCAGCGAGGCTCCCTTAGGGGTGACGGTAATGGTGTCCATTCTGAACTTCTGTCTCCTGTGGTGTCAGGTGTCGGCTACATGGCTCGCCGCGCCCTCTCAACTTTCTCGAGAGCGAAGTGAAAGCGAAGAGTCCCGCAGTCCACTTTCACTCCTCGCCTTGTCAGACTTGGCAAGCGCGTGTCTGTTGTTCTTATTTTGGGGGATGGGATGCTGTGCTGCCGATGTACATGCAGGAAACCAATCCAGGTCTCGGATAGCGTGCGCCACTAGCGGATCTCCCGCCCCACTGACCCGATTCCTGATGGCCTTGCCGGGAGCTTGCAGACCTTGTTGACCGAGCGCACTGAGTGGGATTTTAATGTTAGGGCACTGCAAGGCTTGGAGGAGTGATTAATATCTGCAGTCTTTGTTCCACCCGAAAATGGCCTGCAGAATACACCGCCACCCCGATTCAAGGGTTGCGTGTGTCCCTGGAATAGTTATAGTGATTACGCTAGATTTATAACAGAGATATATATATCAGAATATCTTCGAAAACTATTATCTTGTGCAGAAGACAACGTGCCAGAGTGGTTAATGGGTATGACTCGAATGCCAAGGCTACTAGATATCATATGGCTTCGGCCGCACAGGTTCGAATCCTGTCGTTGTCGCACCATTATTTTGCTTTCTTTTTTACACTGTGGTTGAGGAGAGTGCGATGCTGGTAGAAGGATTAGCATTGAGTTCGCGGGCACGGCGCACTCTGTCCTCCCTTTTTGCCCTCTTGCTGAGGCTCGCCTCACGCTTCATCCCTGCAGCCGCACCACAACTTTGGCAGTGTGCGGCTTCGCTTTTGCATGATCAAATGCTTTGATGTTCAGATAAAATTATGCCCTACCCATCTATAGACTATGAAGACGCCCTATATGCTCTGCCAAACGATACTGATCTGAGAAGCATGATCGCCACCGGCATACACCTTCTCTTGGGTGCTCCCACTCGCAGCCTGATCTGCACTCCAGACTGCATTGCCTCCCGCAGCCAGCTGCCCATTCACAGCCGTAAAACTAGTCGCAGTGACACTCGAACCGCATGTCAACACACCAGAGACAACTCCGCACTTACCTTTGGACGACGAGAGTGTGAAACCCGATCCAGAAGTCGCCGAAGTGAAAGTTGCGCAAGTCCCGGTAGTATACCACGTCCCAGCAGAAATAATACATCCCTTCTTCGCGCCGCTCACTTGTACGTTTAAGTACCCCTTCCCACTAAACGGCGTCCCCGGCGCACTCGTCCCCGTCGGCACGCTCGTACTCGTCCCTGTTCCCGGAGCAGAGGTCGGAGTGCCCGTACCGCCGTTCTTTGGCAGGTATTTGATGCCAGAAGCAGGGCATGTTGACTTGGTGCCATCTGGATCCGCCGGAACAAACTCTCCGGTCTGCACGGAGCCGCGCACATCATAATGATACCATATTTCGTTCAAGGTGCTGGACTTGCAACCGAGAGTCACTGAAACGCCTGGGCGTTTGGCAGCCAGTGCGGCCTGGATGGCGGATGTCGTATAGGTCTGGGATGTCGAGGGTGTTATGCCAGCTGCGGCGAGCCACTATATATAGTCAGTATTCCATAGCCACGCTTTAGACTAACGGGAGTAGGGAAGAATACGCACCTCATATGAAGGTAAAGTCTTGAACAGATCTACAGTTTTCTGGAAGAAGTCTACGACCTCCTCTGTTGCCTTGTGATCCGAGTAGCACTCCGGATTCAACGTGCTGATACATGTTCCGTGCTTGGTCCATTCATGTTGCCAGAACGTCTGGTCGTTGCCCTGGTAGTCTTTCCAATAAGTCTGCATATATGAAAGGAGATCCGTCTTGCCGAACGATTGAATGATAGCCGAGATGTTGGAGTAGTCGCGGGTAGTATCGCAGTTCGCGTCGTAGGTGCCGTCGCAACGGTCGGGCCTTGTGGTATATTATTAGTTCATTTTTCTTATGGCTGAAAGACGTTAGGTACTAGAGGGAGGTACCATAGCCCATGGATTGTCCAGCTATCATCCGGCCCTGTCGCCGGATCCGTATCCCAGAACTGCGTTTGGAGCAATTGCCCACCCGGAGCATTGAAGCAGCAGAGATCAGCCACAACCGTAGTGTTATGACAGCTCAGTTGCGGATTCGAGCAAGCCGCAGGTGTACCTCCCAAAACCGTCTGTCCAGATCCAAGCAGCACCTGCACACCACCAAGAGCAAGCTTCGAAAGCGTTCTCAGCGAGGGAAGTGCGGAGGGCATTGTATCGGAGTCGAACGAAGCTAAAGATGAAGGAACGACGGAGGAGACATGTTGGAAGGCAGCCGTGGCCGCATTTTGTAGGTCTTCCTGAAGGGCAGGCATAGCTCCTTCCTTTCTCTCTACTGCACCAACCGGTACTTGGATACACAGCAACCAATTCCCGGCAGGCTCGAACAAGCTTCGCGGGGCGATCCTCTCTCGGACCGGCAACTCAACTGTCCTCGCTCTTCCCTAATTCGCCTCTTCGTGTTGCAGGCTCGCAGCTAAGGACCAAACAAGTAGGTGGGATGAATGCCGTATGCAAGATGCTGCCACCAGGGAAACTCGAAGTATCGAGGTTATTAAGGGAATGCCAGAAACAGCCATTCAAGGCGCAGCATCAGCGAACACGCCGCCCAAGGTCACGCACCGACTGGGCCATTGCAATATGCGAGACATGATGAGGATCGATGCCCGTTCAGGCATCTGAGACCAGTCAGAGGCGATAGGAGGGTGTCGTTGCAAGGCACGTGGGACCAGCGAGGCGAAAGCTGGATCGGAGCTCGCCATTTGCTGGTCCCTGCGTCAATCTCAATCCTCGCTTAGCTGCATTAGGATGGACCGTTTCGATGCTTGTTTCGAGTAGAAACCACTCTCGTCATGCTCGGGTGTCTTGTCAAGGTCAACCCTATGGTGTAGATATACTCCAAGACCTCGTGGGTGCCCCCGAATCCGACTGCACAAGATGAAGAACGGCCACCGCACTCTAGGAGCGTTAGTTCTAGATCGTCGATGTGCAGAGAGCATGTCTTTCTGCAACCCCCACGACATCATATAGACTGAAACGGTTTAGCATCGAAGCATTCTCGTAGTATCAATTCTTCTCATCTTCTACCCTTGAATCATTCACCAGAGGTTTCCATTTTCATATTCCTATGTCCTCTTTCCTTATCATGCCAAAACTCAACCTTGCGCTCTCAGGCGGAATATTTGCCTGACGTCGGAACGACCAACACAGCAGGGCATCCAACCAACCAGTCAAGAAGTAGAATTCTGACGCTATAGATACGAGAAGAATGCTGAAATATAGCGCTGAAATGGTCTGAATTCAAGCACTGCAGGACATAGCCTTGCCGGGGAGCACAAGAGTCCTCTCTCCCACTACTCAAGAGCTTTGTCATCTTTGCCTTTCTCTTCTTCCTGCAAAGACAACACCACTACCCAACCAGTCCGAATTAAACACGATAGCTAGCTCAGCCATCGCTGCTCCCTAACCCACCCCCTACAAAGCTCGCACGGCACTACTAGAACAGCAACCAAACCTTGAGCGCCAAAAAGCTGTAGCCTTGCGCGAAACACGGTTTCGAGAGGTAAACTAATCAACCTAACTCAAGTGAGAACGGATGCCATCTCTATTTAGACTGCCCTTACCACTGTACCCAAATTCTCTGCCTGGACCGAAAAACCTATTGTCGAGACTCCGCAGCGGTGTTTCGGTGTTTCTAAGTTAGTGCTATATGGAGCGTTGATGTCTGCGCTCCCAGTGATTGCGGCAGGCCTAATAGCCTTTTCCAATGCACCGACACCAGAAGAGAAACAAAAAGCTTCGCAGGAGACTGTAAAGAGCATCGGGATTTCGTTGGGTCTTGGTGAGCTCGCAAGGTATCTTAAGGAAGCGATACAGAACAAAGTTGGTTGGCTTGTGTAAAGTGCTCATGGGTGAAAGGGCGATGAAGACGATTGCTTCCCGCACTGCAGAACGTTGAACCTTTCCTCCACTCGAACGAATGGATCCCTTCATCCTGGTCTCAATACGAATACGAGTGTACTGAACTACCTCAGACCGCAGCGCCAGCAGTCGCCTACATAGGCGTAGAAATCGTCTACCAAGGGGTCCGCAGCCTCTGGGGCACCACCTGCCACATGTAGGCCAAAAAATGCGGCGGCACTGGGACCACGTCCATTGAGCAAGCCAAACTTGGCAAGGTTTTTTCTCTGGATAATGCTTTCTACATTTTCGCTCGCTGCCTGGGCCAAGCTGTCGCCGCTACAGTCTCGACTGCGGTAACCGCCAGCGCAGCATCAGCCAGCCTGACCACATTTGCCTGTCTCGCCGCCCTATAGTTTGCTGGTGTATGGCCGAGGTATAGCCAATAACATGATTCATTGGAAGAACCAAGCTAGAGGTTGGGGTCTATGGTTTTGGTCATTCCTTATCGAGGACCGACGCCATTACAGCTGGTCAGGTGAGAACTACGAGGAGGAAAGAGCGTACATCACACGAAAGCTAGAGTGTATGGTCAGTCATCAGATAATGTACGTATCATCTTATCTTCCCTCTCCGCTAGTTACTCATATGCTCTAGTGTCGACCCAGTTCGCTCCACCCTAACGGGGCATCTCTATGAATGCTGTCCTATAAACACATCGCTGAATGCTCGCAGCACAGACCCAATCTACAGAAGCGAAAGAGTGACGAGAATAGACTATGTTGCGGCTCCGGTTGCAAGGATGTGGGCTCATAAGTTAGCCCGGGAATTGGGGGCTGAGCTTGAACTGGTCTGGCCTTTCTATGTAGTTGAGCTTCCTGCAAAGTCCCTTCGCATCTAAGGGCAATATCGAACCACCATAGCAGGAGTTCTAACAGAACTTGGAAAGTCAAATCGCGCAGAAGCAATAATATGGAACTGTAAACGTAGAAAGCAGGCTTTGCAGTACTGTGAAAGAAATTCGGGTATCTAGTTGACCAAACCTGCTCGAAGAGAACCACGTCTGAATCTATAATACAAAGCTGGGCCGTATGTAAGAGAAATCAGCCATTTCCATGCCTAGGGCTGTCGAGCTTGAGAGCCAGGGAGCTGAGGCTTCAGGAAAGGCGTCTGTTATAGCCCACCAAGCGCAAACACACGACTTGAGCTGCAAAGCAGGTGTTGGAACCTGGCAACTCACGGACACTTCCCATATAGAAACGTGATTGAAATCCCCCAAATTGATGAAATCGTATAAAGATTGAACAACCGCAACGATATGCCTCGAAGCTTAATAGTAGCTGTTCGGATCGTCATAGTTCGAATTGCCGTAATTCTTGTCAACATCATCCAGACTCTTATACTGCGATGGACCAGAGCGGCCACGTCCTCGTCCACCACTCTGACCTCCTCGACCGTATCCGCCGCCGCCGCCACCCCGCCCTCCTCTTGAGCCAAAAGATGGACCCCGATGGTTTCCGCGACCGCCACGATTTTGGTTACCGCCGCGATAATTCGACTGGCCATTTGGACGTCGATCCTCTTGCCGTGACCGGAAGTCCCTGGTATGGCCACCATTGGTGCCCTGTTCGTCTTCGTGGGGGCGCTTGTGGGTCTTGTTAGGGAAGTAGCTCTCCCACTCGCTCTCGTTGGCTTGCTCTTCCTCGACACGGAGGAGGACCTTCTCACCGACGATGCTCTCAAATTTGTAGGATTGCTCGTCTGGTACGGGATGCCAGTTGACGATACGCACGGCATCGGCCGGCTTTCCACCTTTGCGGATTGCTAAGACGATTGTTGGAATCGGGTTCTCCGAGTAATATCGCTGCGATTTGGGAACCGGCTCAACCCTCGCCGCCCACAGCTTGTTCTCGAAGCACGAGACTCCTGTTACTTTCCAGGTGACTTTGTTGCCAATGCCGCCGACCTTATCGAGAATGCTCTTCGGACAAGGCTTAGGCGTGATCAGTATGCTGTTAGCCAGATACCGAATATCGGAATCGGGCATGCCTGGCGGCAGCTTAACGAGAGAGATCAGTTTCTCTGTCATTGCTTGTGGAATCATATAGCCTGTGTAGAAGACGGTCTTCTTGATCTGGTAGGGCGGGGTACCTCGCGGGGCGTTGCCTGCCTTGACCAGGGCATTATGTGAATTGATCAGCCGCTGGATCTCGGCGACTTCTGATACTGGATCGAGCTGCGTGGCATTTTCGGCGACCTGTACGACTTCTGCAGTCAGCGGCTTGCGGATCTGCTGAACCGCGGTGGACATCAAGTCTTTGTTAAAGTTAAAGAAGAATTCGCGGAAGGCTTTAGTGCTGTAAAATGTCAACACGGGCGACTCAGGGGATCACGGGAGACTTGCTGCTTCACTCTATCCTCGTATATCCGAATCTCCTCAGCATCTTTGTAGGTATACACGATGTCCTTCAAGAGCTCCTGCTTGAATTCCATTGTATTCTTGAACTTTTGGTTCGCAGGGCCAATAGCGGGCTTCAGGCAAACCATATGAAAGTCCAACTTCCGGCTCTTCACGATGCGCTTGATGAGGTCGCTGAAGCCAGATTCTGAACGGCCGGTCAAAAGCACCGTGAGGGCGTCTTTCTGTTGCATTGAGAGTTCGACAAGCGTGACGATCTGTTCATTCCACCAGCCCTTCCACGCACGCCCCTCCTCTTTCTCAACGCCCTCTCCGGTCGATGCTAGGATAGCGGAATCGTGCCACCAGCCTCCATTGACGAAAACGTCGGGGGAGGCAAGCTGGCCAATAGTTGAACCGTTCCAGATGTGTTTATTCGGAAGTGGGCTCGCGAATACTAGACACCGGGTCAGTTTTTAAATCCAGGCTGCCATTTGCGGCGTGTGGACATACATGTGTTGTCGAAGTCGTAGACGTGAATGGCTTTGATGGTAGATGCAGAGGGCAGGTCTTTATCATCGCAGGACCACCTCCGTAGGGAGGTCACAGTTCGGACAGCCATCTTGTAGGAGCCGCCGCTAGAGGCTAGCTGTGTCGAGGCGTGGAAGGTGGAGGGGGGGGACGGGCGACGGTGTGGCAGCAAGGACAGGGCTTTTACAGCCGTTCGTAGCATTCACAACAGGCGGTAAGTCGATTAAGCGAGCGGCTGGTGAGTCTGTTCCGAGGCGACTCGGTGGTGATTGTGCATCTGGTGGGAATGATGGCGAAAGAACCTTGGGAACTTTCGTAGACTCGGGAAGTGGCAGATGCCCAGCGTTATTGTGGATGGCCCGTGCGCATTGCTTCCGACCTCGGGAACCATGGAACCTTGGTCATCCTTCCGCCACTTTCACTCAACAACATCGCATGGAGAAGGCCACCAGCTCCACCAAGGATGATTCTGGGGACGCTTGCGTCATATGTCTGTCTTATATCACTGAAAGAGCTATCACAGCTCCCTGCAACCACTACACATTTGATTTCTTATGTATCGTGAATTGGTTGCAGGAGAAGTCTACTTGCCCGCTATGCATGTCTTCTCTCGCCTGAACGTGCCTTTCAAGGCGCCGAATTCTTTGATATTAACATAACGTTAGGTAAAGCAGAAGTCACCGCCGTCCAGTATGACTGGCGCTCTGCGGAAGACTTCAAGACCTACACCGTCCGCTCCACTCGTCCACCTCCAAATACCTCAACCCCTCAAACCCCTTCCGAAAATATTCGCCGTGGGCTGCTAAGACAACGGCGAACCACGCGTCGCCCCTACTCCACTCCAAATCCAAATATTGCGCTGCTCCGTCGGCGCCATGTCTACCGCCATAAACTGTACTCCCTGCACGTTGGCGCAAACCGGATATCGCGCTACCAAAATCTGACTCCTGAGATGGTCGCCACTTCGCCAGACCTTCAGTCTCGAGCGAAAATGTGGATACGTCGAGAGCTGCGAGTCTTTGTTTTTCTGTACTCCGACGCTGAGGCGACGCCAGCCGAGGAAGCGACGACCAGCAGCAACGCCGAGTTCCTGCTGACCTACATCATCTCCATACTGAAGACTGTCGATATAAAATCGAGCACTGGGCACGCTGAGGATCTTTTGCAGGAGTTCTTGGGTCGGGACAACGCGCGTCTGTTCTTGCATGAAGTGAATGCCTGGTTACGGAGTCCGTACACTAAGCTGGAGGACTGGGATCGACATGTCCAGTATACAGAAAGGCTTCCCAACCAGTTTGATTCAGATGGTATAGCGATTGTTAGACACCAGACAGGCAGGTGCACAAGCCGTTCTCGGAGCCCGGTTCCGACAAGGAGGGGAACGTGGAGGGAACGAGAAGCCTTACGAAGATACCAGCCTGATTGAAGAGCCAGATGACCTTAATCCCTACATCCCGAATGAATTTAGAAGGCTGCTGATCGATTGAGATCTCCTGCATTGCTTAGAAGTGGGCGCCTTAAGACGATTCTATGGTATTAGTACATGTCAAGATATTCACATGGGTGCCCTTCCTCGGTCACACTCTCAGCACGGTGAGTTATCGCTCACGCCTTTTCAATCTCCCCCGCCGTGCTGTGGAATTCTGCCTTTCAGGGAGACAAACCCGGACTCTTGCAAGACAAGTGGAATCTCGCCTACTTGCATTCCCAGGTCCCAAGCGTGTACGAAAGAGCCCAGTGATCCGCACAGGTTCACAGCTGGACCCGGCATCAGGCCCATAGATCTATCAGTTAATCTGTTAACGGGACGAGGTGCTGAGTGAAACAAGTGTCGAGGACCATGGTGTTTAATAGAACGTAGTACTGCTCCTACTGTTACTGATAGTAACAATCTCTTGGCAGTTAGAACGAAAGTGAATTGCCTTCCGTTACTGTACGGTTAATGAGGCTATAGTTACTGCAGTAACTGCCTATACTATCTATTGTTAGTACAGAACAGTGAAGTAACTCCTTGCACTTAAAGCTCGCAGCCAGTTCAACACCTTGCAAGCTCTTGTTGTCTTGAGAAGTCAAGGGCTGCCTCTAGGAGCTCTTATAATTAAGGCCTTGTCCTCTAGTGTTTCTATTCTTACAAGTTTCCTAAGGACTCTCGCCTTAACAACACTAAGTAGGACAATATCTAGACTTGCGACCTCCAGCTGAAACCTGGGGGCCTTAGATATTGTGTGAAGAGCATATTAGCAAGATTGTGTCAAAATTAAGCCCTCTAGAGCCTCTAGTAACACCAGTTACTGCAGTAACTGCACTGAACAGTAACTTTACTATTAATTAACTTAGCAGTAACTGTTACTGCCTGTAAGGCTGTTTTAATTCACTCTTTCCATAAAAACGAAACCCTATTGCTGCTAGTAACGCCTTAAAAACACTACTGACAGTAACAGTTACGTTCTATTAAACACCATGTCGAGGACATTGAGCGCGCTCCTGAAACTGAGCGCCATATCCAGAGCCGCTAGATTACACATTTTACGTCCGAGGTTGGCACCTTCCCCAAAATTGTACCGGCACGGTCCTTGATCTCGGACCCGCGCTTTGAGCAGAGCGAGACGGGAAGGCATGAAGGTTGAATCATCAGGTGGCTAGGGCTGCCTTCAGTTCCTTCACAGGTACTACTATGTCGGCACTTGGCGTCTCTGAAATCGTCATCAATGCCCTTGTCCTGGCTAAAAACATGATGAGACCTGAATTCGGAACGGTGCATTAGAAGAGTAATACATAGAGTTACAATTTGGTTTGCTTGACGTTTACGCAGCGTGCTCAATAGGCCGTACTACTGGCAGTACTGAGTACGGTGTACGGTTGGTTTGGGCCGTACGAACGTACAGCGATCTTCTGTCACTGCGTACGATAGCTGTTGCCCTGAGTGCTGTCCGTAGTACGGCGTACAGTTACCTTTTAGGTGTTTTGGAGAGCCCTTGCCGGAGTAACTACCGTGAAGGGCCGATTCAGGAAATCTCGTCCGTACAGGCCTCAAAATTTCCTAATCGTACAGTACTACGGACTGTTGGGCACGCTGCGTTTACGCCTCAATTTCAGACCTAGGGGTGCATGACGACTCAGGAGAAAGCAAAGAAGAACAGGGACTCACCGCATTCGCGGTAGAGCTCGATTCAATGGAAAAGGCTAGAGTATAATACGGATGCATAGGATAGAAAGTCTTCCACCTTGACTCCGGAGAAAGCAAGGAGGGATTAACTCATTCACTGGTGCACATCTACATTCGTATCCCCTAGAAAATCGGCTATCAGGTACTCATTCCAAAGGAGAACGATATACTCAACGCTGCTCCCGCGCTTCATCAACCTCATCAACCTCATCGTTGCTCCAGCTCTACAATTTCACTACCGCCCTAGCTCATCAGCCCGGAGCGGCATCTGGGGCAAGGCAATACACTAGACTCATTTGGAAATGAAACTCGGTTACCTTTTGCAGCCTCTCATAAATATTATCGATATTGGTTTAGATGGATACTTGGGGTTAGGGCTGATGATGCTTTCAAATAGCGAATGAGAATGAAAAAAATGAATGAGAAACAAAGCACTTCCCAATTTCCAACTCCCAACTCCCAAAAGCCTGTCCTGAATCGTAATCTCTGGAGCTCATATCGTGAATTGCACGATGAAGGAATAAGAAAGAAAGGCACTTAACCATTGCAACGTATGTGACGACGCCGCAAACGCCTACCACGCCTCTGCTCGCCCTTTCGAGCCCGTACTCCTACTCCTTCCCAACATAGACGCCGAACCGCCGAATCGACTACGCAACTTTCAAACTTTCGCTTCAGACGGATCATATCACGCAAACTCGTCCCTCGTTTCTCTCATTCCCCTCTCCTGCCGATAATGAACCTCATATTCTCCTTCCTCTCCCCTTCCCCTCCACTTTCTCCACCCTTTCCAAGCCTTCCAGCCCCAACCCAAAAACCCTTACGGCCCTCTCCCCCTCATAATCCCCAACGCGGGCGTGCTCGAGCTCATACTCCCCCTCCTTCCACTCATACTCTCACTCCTTGAACTATCCACACTTCTCCTCATACTACTACTACTCGACCTCCGCCTCGCTCGTCTCGCTTCATCGGGATCATGGGGATTTAAGCCACTCGCTCTAGCGAACAAATTCAAAATATCTGTTAGGCTGATTACTCCACTTAATCTCCCGCTCAGGCTCGCGCCGGGGATGCTGGACGCAGAGATAGCGGGCGCTGCGGCGCCGGCGAGATGTTGCGGCGGGGACGTCGATGCTGTAGCTATGGCCATAGGATTGGAGGCGGAAATGGGAAGGGGGGTGATTGGAGATGGTGGGACGAGTACAGCGGGTGTTGCGGCGGGGGTAGGGGGTCCTGAGGAAGCAGGCGAGGGTGTTTCAACAACCCACATGCGGTGCGAGCGGGTGGCGACGAGTTTGGCAACAGTGTGGGCAAGGGTCGAGAACGGGTTCACGTGGAAGACGGGAAAGGAGTCCTTGCCGTCGCTCACGCCGCGTTCAGAGAGGATGACGGAGATGAAGTGGATGCAGGAGGAGCGGAGGAGAGGGAGGGAGGTGGATTTTGTGAGGAGCTGAGGAGGTCAGTATGCGATAGGGCGACTTATATATGGGTTAAGGGTCAGACTTACTCGCACGTCGACGTGGGATATGTTGCCAATGACGTTGTTTTGAGAGTCAAGTACTGGGAGAGAGGTTATACCTTCGTTGTTCATGAGCTCGAGGGCATCGGTTAGGGGTTTATCGCCACTGGATAAGTTAGCCTTCAGATTACCCCACTTCCTCTAGGGATAGCTTACTTGATTGCGTAGACCGAATGCGACCCAATATTCACATCCTTAATTAGCAGCGGATACAATTGATCCACCGCCGGGAAGCTCTGCCTATTCTCCCAAAAGAACTGCACCAATTTCAACTGCGTCAATATGCCAACCACATTCGTTGAACTTTCCTCGACAACCAAAATCCTATGCACTCCACTACCAAACACCTCCATAGCTTTTGTTAAGTCTGCGGTAGATGGTAGCGTAATCAGAGGCTCCTTCTTCCCCAAATCCTTGATATCTTTGAGTGGTATGGGTTTTCCTTCCCGGCCTTTCTTCGCAAGCTCGTCGAACGACGCGACATCACTCTCAGTGGGGTGTGCGAGGCCGACAACAAGAAGAAGGTACGCGTTTAGGTCGCCATAATCAAAAGTGCCCGTCGCCGTGCGGGAGCCTGGGTTTTCGCGGAGGAGAACCACATTGGGGGCGCCAGACTGTACAAGAAGCTACAACACAATTAGCAAGCGCATTCAAAGGGTCGTGGAAGTATTCTCACCGCCGTAGCCTCCTCCACGCTGGTATCATAATCCGCAAACCGCACCTGCGCGGGGTCAACAATCTCGCCCACACGGACCGTCTTCCAATCCCTCCCCACAAACTCCGGGGCGCCATTCTTCGTCGGTGGGTTATTCAGCAAGTCCTGAAGCGCTTGCTGCGACAGGCTCGGCTGGCGCTGTGCTCGTGGTGAGGAAGGAGGGATGCCGCGCATGTTCTCAACGAAGCTTGAGCGGTGGGAGGAATGCGGGCTCGACGACATCTTGAGCATAGGCGGGGGAGACCTAGGCCCCGAGTTTGTCATTGACTGCAGCGAGGGGTGGGTTTTCTCCTGTCTCTTTGCTGGAGGCTCGTCTGCAGAGGAGTGATCTGCCATGGCGGAGGCGGAAGAGGCGGGGTGAGTGTCCAAAACTGAAAAGGCAGGGGAGCAGCTTCAGCAGTTCCGATTGTGTCAACGGCAATCACAAATAGATACAATCGAGAGGCATGCAGTAGCAATGGAGAGATGCAAGGGCGATTGCAGTGGGAAATGCGGTGAGGTGGTAGGCTGCGCCGTGTCTCTATCGTCGTTAAATTATCGATGGCATGAGGTGCGGAGCTCGCAGCTGCCCGCCCAGCCCCGACCTGCTTGTGCACCGTCTCCTGCTATCAGCTGTCGGTGTGAGCTCGCAGCCAATCGCTGCGGCTTACTGATCGCCATCACTGATGACCCATCGTCCTCTGCTCATGCATGTGCCCGGCTTGCGTGTTGCTGTCTACCCATGGCGCCGTGACGCGAAGGAAGGCTTTTGAATGCGAATCCATACGAGTGTCTCTCAATTGACATCATACCCGTTGTGAGCCACGGTCTACTTCTCACAGTTGCCAATCGCTTAATCACACCCGTCGGACACTGAAACCGGGAGGGGATGACGAGACTTTGCATGCTGTAAATATATCTTATACTTTGTTCTTGTCTCCCAGTGCCGTGGCCTAATCCAATGCCCTCCCCCTAAACAGTGTACAGTTGAAGCGAACAAACAGTATACAGCGAATGTCCAAATCCAAGCCCCTTGCTAGAATGCATGACGTTTCCAAGCCCAGTCCCGAATCTAGTCCCCTCTATCCCTCACACATCCAACATGCTCCTGATCCGTTGTGGTGGTACATTTTGAGTATTTTCAGACGTCAAAGTCCGTCCCGTCAGTCCTGTGGCCTCAGAATTACTTGTTGTTGTGCTTGCAACATCGCTATCCAACCGACTTACCGTCAGTCTATTCCCAGCCACGGACGCTTGTCGGGAGCCTGAAGGACTTTGGTCTCTGAATGGATCCTCTGGCGGTCGATCCCGGGACCGATTCCGAATGTTCATGTTCCCCATCTCAATGCTCTGCTGGGCCTGGCGCGTGGTCGGCCTTCCGCCTCCGAATTCCGTCGTCATGTTGCGCAGCCTTTGATCGTCATTCTGATAGCGCTCAGCCCAGTTCCGGCTCCACCAGTTTGGTTTCTTGACGAGGCCGAGTTCTGCATCAACGACACGACCGCGGTCTTGCCGCTGCTGAATGATGACTTGGTCCTCGTTTTGCTCCATGAAACCAGCGACCTCGAAGACGACAATGATCAGCAGGATTGACCCATATCCAAGACCAAATGGCCAGCCAACGACAACATCGTCCTGGAATATGCTGAGGTCCCAGACCCAGGCGCTTGCAATTCCATATCCGATCCGGATCGCGAGTAGAACGATGGCAGCGAAAAGTTTTGTAGGGCAATAATGGCAGAACGAATTAATCCTGTTGAAAAACCCGGTGGCGCGTGGCTTATAGTGTTTTAAAGAGTGGTGAAGTGAATAGCATATCACGAACCATGCTATGGCTGCTAGTATCGCGCCTGCCTTTTCTCGTGGGCCTGTCGATGCGGGCCGGGCAATATCATTTTTCTGTTCTGGTGTGTTTTGTTTTTGAATCGCAGTCCATGACCGAGGAATGACCATGAAGAAGTTTAGCCACGCGAAGAGGTAGAAGACCAAAGGAAGCCAGAATTCGGTTCTGGCGCGCTTGTCGTCTTGCGGTAGGAGGAATGGATCGCGATCGACTATCTGTCGTTCTTGCCACGAGCCCCTGTCCAAGTGAGCGAATGCTCTATGCTGGGGATCTGAAACACTTACCAGTGTCGGGTAGCTTCCCACACCATAGCCAGGGTGCCCGGAACCATCAACACGAAGAAGAAGCTCTGCAGAATAATGGGGATTTGTTGCAAGTAATACCGGTCCACATCGACACCCGTCAAGGTGCTGATCAAACCGCATGCAGCCACGAAGCACATCCAGTACCACTGCCACCGCCTGCCAACAACCCTGAACCGCTTATTCTCTCGCAAGTATAGCCGTCCGTGTTTTCGCAAGTTCACTAATGTGAACATGATGCTGATGGCGAAAAACGTCCCAAACACGATGCTAGCGATTCCGCGCCCATGGATGTGGTAATATGGTATGTAGCATGTTGTCGCGTTGACCCAACTGCCATTGTTGAACATGTGCGGTTTGAAGTTGTCAAATATGAGATAGCATCTCGAGTTGTTTGAGATGGTGTTGTTACTGTATATTGTGTAGTTGTGTTCTTTCAGGGCTGTAAGGTTGAAGTGCACGCCATTGAGGACTGTGTCTGTTGAATTATCGCCTTCTGGGAACTGTAGAAGTTCTCGAAGATTGAGGAGCGGCATTGCGGAGGGTATGCGCGGAGGGCTGATTAGGAGGCGAGGTTCAGTGGTTGGCAGGTCAAGTATGTATGGGAGGCTATTGTTCCTGCCCCACCATCGCAGGTCGAAGATTGGGAGCACTCAGCCCTGGAACCGATTGGGAGAGTGCGTAATGCCAGCGGGCCTGGTTCCGCGGGGTTCCGGTGAATGTTCTTCAATGATAACCTGCGGGAAAGCACGATGAATGCGAAGATGAGTGTAGACTTTGGGAGGGGAGGTTGCAAGTGTTTATGAACTCACTAGAGAGTACTGGCTAGGAAGATTTTAATGGCGCACCGGAAGCTTATGGATGTGGGAGGCAAGCACTTCGTTGGCGCACATCAAGCTCATGCTGCAGTTGGCTGACCTTGCTGACTGTCAGATCGCCGTGTTGATGGATCAGGGCTGGGGTGGTCTGTGCCACTTAAAACCTCAACCCATCATCAAATATTACACTATCTCTACCGCCAAGCCCTCTCTCCTATTGGTCTGGATATAAGCCGGCTATTAATTTAATTAGTAGAAAATTAGTAACTAAAAAGCTGCGTTACTGTTTGTTTTTAAGCTTTAAGTAATTATTCTGCTATGCTACATGCTTAATCTAGTCTTCTTTTTTTCCTATTATAATTAACTACTGTATAGTTAGGGGTGTAAAAATTACTTTTATAGTGTAATTTTTTCTGCTAAATGTAATTAGCTCTACTAAGACCTTCTAAGTAAAGCCTGCTGTAGGCAAAAAAAGAGTTCTAGAGAATCTTCTTTTAGTTAAGTAAAACAGTAGTGTAACTTTAGGCTTTAGCTTTACATCTGCTCTAACCTGTTCTAATCTTTCTTAACTAGATATTATCTACTTTAATACCTTTGCAGCTTTAGTTAACCTTACTTTATAATAATAATAAGTTATAGTAAGCTACTATATTATAGCTATTTATAATGTATGTAAGTGTATTAAGTTATCTTATGTTATCTACTAACCTTTACAAAGAATTATAAAGGCCTTAAGATTACACTTAATATAATATTAGCCTAATATAAAACACTTTTAACTATTTTTTTTTTAAGCTATAAAGCTATACTAATTATATTAAAATTAAAAGCATATTTACATACTATAAACTATTATATAGAGAGTAAGAGCTTAAAGGTGTTTTATTACTTAAGATAATAAGTTTAAATAGCTTAAATTTTTTCTTATATAAAATTTTTTTTTAAAAGTTTTTAGCTTAATTAAGTTTTTTTCTAAACTTAATAAAAATGCTGTTTTAAAAAAAGTTATACTTTTAAAAACTTTAGAAAAATAAATTTATTTAGTGTAGTATAAGCCTTACTACACCTTATTTTAATAAGTAAAATTTTAATTTACTTAAAGTTAATTTATCTTTAATCTGCTTTAACTTTTTTTAATTAGTACTTTTTTTTTTAACTTATTCTCTTTTTTTTATTATATAGTGTTATCTTTTTATATTATTACTATATAGACTTATTGCCTACTTTCTGCCTAGTCTATAATAACTATAGACCTCTCTCTAACTTCTTTACTAATAAAGTTAAAGCTCTTTATTACTAGTGTAATAGACATAGCTGTGTAGTATATTACTTTATTATAATTATTATATTCTTTAGCGCTTATATTTAGTTTTATTTAGGCGTGTTAGCTATTAGCTAATGTTAACTTTAATGCATAACTCTTAAAACATATTTAAGCTTGCGCTACTATAGTCTAATTAGGTCTATGCTAGAGCTAACCTGCATATGCTAGGCGTAACACTGTATTAAGTAGAATGCTAGTGCTTAATTAATTATTTTATACATATTAAGACCTTTTTAAAACTTTTATGCTTTTTTTTACTTCTCTTATACTATCTGTCTAGATCTATTATAATATATAATTAACTTTTTTTAAGTTTTTTACGCTAACTTCTACTTCTTCTACACTGTTTATATGTATATATTATTATAATATATAGCTAACTTTATAAAGACCTATTTAATCTTTACCCTCTTAACACACTTTAGATTAGCCTGCTTTATTTTTATCTATGTGTAGAAATTAAGAGTAACTAAGGGCTAGTCTTTTATAAAATAATTTACTAAAGGCATATATTATTACTACTATAAACTATATTACTTTTATTAACTTTAGTCTAATGTAGAATTTTATAAGTAGCTGTTCTAACTGCAGTGCTTTTTACTAGCTTAAAAAGTAAGTTAATAAAAGTTAGGCAGATTCTCCTTAGTACTCTATATGTTACCTAATAAGTAATATTAACCTTCTAACCTTTTTAGATCTACTTTTATTCCTGCGTTATTTTTTATAGAGTAGGCACTTACTTAGTAAATCCTTTTAAAAGCATTTTTAATTATATAATATAGCCTTAGCTTTTATGTTAGCTAACTATAAATAAATAAATTAAAGTGTGTGTAGCATAGGCGTAAAGGTTTTTTAGATTATAAAAAAAATGTACTATATGCACAGCCTATTAGAGCCTGCTAAGGGGGACGTTCTTTTCTACGCACAGCTGTACTTTTACAATCCTGCCTAGGCTAATAGTGCATGTATAAGGCATTAGGCTAATAGTAGTCTTAATCTAACTATACTTACGCAGCTGCTATAGATAGTTAAGATAGATTATAATAATTCTTAAATTAAAATATATAAAACTACACATAAGCAGTTATAGTAAGCTTATAAGTAAGATAAAGAATTATAGATTACTTTTAATCTACAACTACAGTTAATTATGCAGGCTAGGGCTAATTAATGTTAAAAGAACCTACCTATTACTAAAAAAATTACTGCTTTAGTCTATAATAAGCTAGTTAAAGATTATAACTAAAATTTTATTTTTTACTACTAACTTAGCTCTAATTTAAGACACTATTAGTCTCTATACTAAAGAATTAAACATACATATGTAGTATATTAGCCTCTCTACTATGTTTTAATGTTTTTATAAAGTACTGTTAGGTTTTACTATAGTTTACAGCTGCGTACTTTACGCATGTCTTACACCTAGGATACTCTAACTAATTCTAAGTATTACTAATTTTACTTATTTCTCTAGTGTAGTAGTCTTATTGTCACAATTATGCACAAGTAAGGTTATAGAGCTTTATAGAGGTCTAGTTTAATTACTACGTAAGGTATTATAGTAGGTACAAGATGTTGTGTAAGGAATAGAAAGGTTTAGAAGAAAATTAGTAATTAAATACTTAGCTTAAAAGTCTAAGCACTTTAAGTATAAATTAAGCTTATTTTAAGTTTAGTTAGTGTTAAAGTAGTTTATGCTTAAGTTTATGTCTATGTTATGTTATATTTATGTTAGACATGCACTAATAATACTCTAGTACATGTCTAATATAGTTATGTCTAGGATCTAGGGAGGATACTATAACAGTACTCCCCCCCTTATTAAGAAGGGAATCCTTTACATTAGTAGTTCTAGCATTAGGTTATCTTTGTTAGAGTACAGGTTTAGTTTAGATAGGTATTAGGCATAGAATTAGGTTACTATAGAGTTCTCTTACAGAGCTTCTATAGGTTCTTATAACAGTTTATTATATTTAGTCTATTTTGTAAGGTATTTATAGATATGTTTTTTTTTATTAAACTAAATCTATTTAACATTTTCTATAACATATTCTAGTTTATTATTTATAATAATAAGTTTAGGTAGTAGGTTTAGCTATTTAAGTAGATAGTTAGATTTAAGAGCTGCTTAGCGCAGCAACAATATGTAGAACACAGGGTGTATCTTTATACTGTTAGGTAGGATTAATTAGTAAGCATGCAATAAGACTATATAGGCTACTGTAAAGGGGCTAAAGTTCTTCTAATTAAGTTTCTTTAATTATTAGTTTATTTAAATATTTCTAGCATCTAGCTAGACCTTCTTACTAGCTGCATACACAGGGGTAAGAGTTTAGAATTAGTTTATGTACTCTTGTTAAAAAGCTTAAGCCTATGTAAGCTTTTTATAAACATATTTAGATATGTTTTAGATTTTATTAATAAGTGTTAAATAGGCTCTGACAGCTAGCTGCTTATAGTATAAGCACTTAAGTAGCAAGAGTAAGAGTAGTGTACAGTGTGCACAGCGTATAAGGTAGGTAAGGTAAGGGCAACATGTTTCTAGTTCTATTACTCTTGTCTTTTCTCTGTACAGAGGAAAAGGGGGATATCTAGATGTTTGCGCACAGAGGTTCACGCACAAGCATTATGTAACATAGATATGTAATCCTGCTTATGCGCAATTATTTGTATCTAGGCTGTAACGCTGCTGCTGTGTATAGACACTAGCAACTTTTCTTTTTATCTAAAGAGTTACCTTTTATACGTGTTACCTCCCTTTTATCTATGTAAGTTTATCTAATTACATTCTGCCTTTACTTTACTCTATTTATTAGGACTTGCTTTAGTAATGCTGTACATTAAGATAAGCTAGTTACACTATATAAATAGCTTTATAAATAGTGTAAAGCATTTTAGGCTATTATTATTTAGCCTTTATGCGCTTGCCTTATAAGTAATTTAGCAGTGTATAAACTATTTTATATAGAGTTTTATACTAGAATAGTGTAGGATCTTTGCTTAGGCAGGTGTGTAGAGAGGTGTATATAATAAGGTTTTTTTTTTTTTTTTACTTTCTTTTCTTTATCTTTTACTTTTTAAGCTCTACTATACTATTCCCTAGCTCTTTTCTCTTTTTGTACAGTACTAATAGTAACAGATACTCCTGCCTGCACACACACACACACACACACACACACACAGAGAGAGAGATGTCTCTCTAGCCTTTCTCCTCTACCTCTAGCGCTGTTAGTGCGGGCGTTTTTAACGTCCTTGTGCAGTCTAGCAGCCTAGGGCGCATCTGTGTTACCCTTTTAACTAGTTCTGCTGCTAATTAGTAGTTTATTTAGTGTTTTAGTATAAATATATAAATCTTTTAGCTTTTCTATTTTCTTTTTATATAAAATGCTAATTATAGATAGGCTAAGAAGCAGCATATAGCAGCTTTACTATTTTATAATATTAATATTATCTTACTTACTAGCACTAATCTGCAGCTATAGGCAGCAAAGGTTATGCGTTATAAGGGGTACTTCTGTGCAGTCTTAGTCTAGAGTTGTAGTTAGGTCCTAGCAACTTTGTGTGCTTATTATTATAGTAGCACTACTAGTGCTTTTTTTTTTATTAAGTGTTATATGTTAGCTAACTTCTAGGCTAATGCCTGCGCTTTATGTGTATAGTAGAGCT